TATATATATATACTGTATATATATAGTTCTCTGCATGAAAGGCCCACGGCTGGCAGATTAATGTGCTACTTCTTTTCTCTCCTTTATGGTAGGTAATTAAATGAAATGAAATGTGGAGGATGTTAACTGTAACAAGATGATTGACAGGCCAGTATACTGTGACAGGATGCGTGTTAATAACATCCATTAAAGAACCAAATTTATGACGCGATAGTATGTCCCAAAGCTTGTCTACTCTTCTGCTATTCTATTTGATTGGAATTTGATTGAAAAATAAATATAAATCTCAAGACATTGTTAAAATATATATTCTCTTTCTTGTTCATTGAAGTAACATTTCTAGGCATTTGAACACATCAAATTAAACTCTATTTTTTTTGCCTATTACAGTACATATTTAACAAGGTCTTGAGATTTTTTTAAATTAAAATTCCAATCAAATAGAATCCAGAAATTGCAAAAATAATCACAGAACAAAAGCTTCAGTTAAGTAACTATACAAAATAAAACTGAGGCATTACAGTAATATTGTCTTGACTTTATGCTTAAATAAATTCACAGAATGACACAGCGTGACTTATTTTTCAGTTTTTCAACTACAAGTTCCAGCTCTTTTATTTCTTCTCCTTGCTGCTCTTTCAGGTGCTGATAGAGTTTTTCCAGTAGTTCATGTTGTTCTTGACGTTCTTTAAGCATCTCTGTGAGCTCCTGAACGTGCTGCAGTTTTCTTTCTTTCGACTCATTAAACTCTTCTGCTTGTTTTCTGGCTTCATCTTTATGTTTCTTCTTCACGACTTTTATTTCCTCTTCATGTTTCTGTTTCATTTCATCTCTCTCTTTCTCTTCTCTTTCTTTTCTCTCCTCCTCTCTTTCTCTTCTCTTGATCTCTTCTTCTCGTTCTTGTTTCAGATATGCAATCATTTTCTTCCATCTCTTTCTCTCTTCTTCTCGTCTCTCATCATCTTCTTGTTTTCTTCTCTCCCACTCCTCTTTTCTCTCTCGTTCCAGTCGTTCATAATGTCTTTCAATTTCAGTTTTCTTTTGTTCATATTCTCTCTCTTTTTCTTCTCTTTCTCTTCTCTGTTTCTGTCTCTCCTCTTCTATCTTCTGTCGTTCTTCTTCTCTCTCTCTTTCAAATCTCTTTCTCATTTTCTCCAGTTCTTCTTGTTTTTCTCTCAGTTGTTCCTCATGTTTCTCTTTTCTCTTTCTTTCCTCTTCCTCTCGTTCTCTCATCTGTCGTTTCTTGTCATCCTCCCATTCTCTCTGCTGTCGTTTAATTTCCTCTTGAGTCTCTTTTCTGTCATTTTCAGCATCTTTTATTTTTCTTTTCCATTTCTGTCTGTCCTCCTCTTCTTCTTCATTCCTCCTTTTCTGCTCAGATTCTCTCTTTTTTATTTCTTCTTCTTCTTTTATCTTTAACTGTGTTATAACATGTTCTTGTTCAGTTCTCATCTTTTCTTGATCTCGTCTGTATTTCTCTTCTCTCTTTCTATCTTCTTCTTCTCTTTCTTTTTGCTGTTTTTCATACTGTGATCTCTGATTTTCAATCTCTCTCTTCATTTCTTCTATTTTTTGATAATATTCAGCTCTTAGTTTTTCCTCTTCTGATCGTTTCTGGTTTTCAATCTCTCGTTTCTTCCATTCTGTTTTTTCTTTCTCTTCAAACTCTTTTCTGAGTTTTTCCTCTTTTTCTCTCAGTTGATTCTGCATCTTCATTCTCTCCTCATCTGCTCTTTGCTTCTCTTCCTCGAGTCTCTTCATCAGGTTTTTCATATCCAGCTCATATTTGGCTTGTAATGCTTCATTTTGTGCCTGAATCTCTTTTTCTCTCTCTTTCATTATTTCCTCCATTCTCTTCTTAATGGACATCTCTGCCTCGGCCAGATTCTAAGGTTGCATTGCAGGCATTCACATATAGACTTAAAATGTCTAAAAGGTACAGCAAATAAAGCGATGAAGTTAAATGGTCATGAAGAACTGAATTTGAACATGCCACTTAATATGTGAATACTTTAGAGTCACAGAATGCAATTTTCACTCCTCGCGTAAAAGAACAAACTGGATTCAGCAAGCAAAAGCAGTATTCGAGATAGTGTGGATTTAGTGTGCGTTAAGGGCACTGCGCTTCGGCCGTCAAGTGGCCAAGACTGCAAGTGTGGGTATTTGGGTATTTGGACAAGGCACTGGTCTTGGGAGTCTCTACTAATTGACTGATGAGTTCATTCAAAATGAAAATGTTTGAAAAGTTTGAAAATGTGTTGTGTTGGTGTGTCTCCAGGAGCAGGGCTGGGAAACGCTGACTCAGATTTGCAAGTGATGGATAAACTTCATGATGGAAATCATATATAAAAACATTTTATTTTAAAAGAATATTATCCACTCACCTTCTGACTGAATCTTCTGCTTTAACTCTTTAATTTCATTCTCCATTCTCTTCTGTTCTTCTTTATATTTCTCCTCTGCTTCACATCTGACTCTGTTCTCCTGAGCTTTCATATACATCTGAAGTGAATACGGTTCAGTCTTCATGTTCTCTATATATTCCAGTAGTTCTGGGATCTGCCTGGAGTTTTCAGGTTCCTTTAACCCCATCACTCTGTACTGACCTCCACATAGACTGATTAACCTCTGAGATTCTGGTCTGGATTTGACTAAATCTGTCACTAGTGTTCCAACAGTGAGATCAGTGGTGAAAAGCAGCATGAAGTGCTCTCTGGAGTTGAATATCTTCTGGATCTTCTCTATTTCTGCTTTGTCTTCATCAGTCAGTGGAGCATCAGGAACAATGAGGAGGAAAACATGAACTCCAGGATGACAGAGAGACACACAGTTGAGAGTCTGATGCATCACATCCTCCTCTGAGAGATGGATCAGAGCTGGAAGCTTCACCAGACTCATCAGATGACCATGAATCTTCTCCTCCTCCATCACACACTCTGAGCTGAACGTCTGATGTGACATGGAAAGTGTTTTTTCCCCCATGAAACATTCCAATACAGAGGCTTTCAGAGCAGCATCACTTCCACACAACACCAGGTTCAGGTCTGGTTTTGTAGATGCCTGTATTGACACTGAAAAACATGAGGAAGAGAAAGAGGGATAAGCAAACTGCCTTTTAATAGAAACCACAGAACATTTGACTTCCTAAAGGTTTTTAGGCCTAATGTCAGAATAAAACAGTAATAATGTCAAAATTAATAACTGTGTTAACAGAATCAAAAATTGAATTTTTTTTTTTTTTTACTATATCAGTCCTAATTACTATTAGGTTATTAGAAAAATAGGGTGACCAGACGGCCTCATTTTCTGGGGACAGTCCTGTTTTTTGGTGTCCTGTCCCTGACTGGAGCTGTCTGCTGAAATGTCCCCAGGGGAATTTCAAAACAGCCCGCAAATATGTTGCAAGCAAGCCCTTGCTGTTTGCAATGGAGCAATATGTCAGAGCAATCATGTAGTGATTATTTCTACCAGCAGATGGCGCTGCATAAGATTACTTGGTCGCATGCCGCTGCTTCAGTCATTTAGAACTGAACCTCTGTGAGAGCTATAATTATCAATTATCTAATTCTAATTATTAATTATTTCATGCTACTGAAATAACCACTGTGATAACCACATTTTGTCATCTGTAATGTGCAATAAACCAATTCATAAATGTTTTTTTAACTTTTCATCTGTAGCCAGAATATGATGTGCTCTTTACCCACAAAAATCTTTCTATTAATCTTATTTAATAATCATGATTACAATATCAAGATAATAATCAACAATATTTTATGATATTGCCCTATTCTGTAATTAGTTTATTATTATTATTGTTATTATTTATAGGCTATTTACATAATGCAATTTTTGTGTAAATCATATACAGTATGCCAGCCTTGAGCAGCATTAAACTGTGTAAATAAACATAAATGTCATGTCAGATGCAGCTTCTGTTTCACTTTTGCAGTGTAAAGATCGCTTGTTTTGATGTTGAAAAAAAAATTTGATTGGTAGCAGTCTATAGTATTCTGATTGATTTAAGTAACTTGTTAAATTTAAGTACTTGGCATAAAAACCCACAAGATACATTTAATAAGGTAATTATAATTGATCATACTCTTTGAAGTATGCTATAAATTAGATTGTTTTGGACAAGGCACAAAGGCTAGAGCTGGCATTCATGAATTGATGGATTAGCAGGTCCTTGTTTGTCACGATCAGCAGCTGGGGTGCCCATGAGCTCCACCAGAGCGCACTCCTTACTACTCCTCTGCAATTCCATCAGGAACCACATTTCCCAAAAATCTTTGCCTGGACTCATTGTCATGTGATCACGTCCACCTGTGTGTCAATAGGTGCTTTCGACTTCATGCGGCGCCGCGCAAACCGATCGGCGGCTGACTTGAAGCAGTGCATGCCGATTAGAAATTTAGTCCGACATGAACCGACGCCGACGCCACGTCACTGTCACGTGTGGCATCAAAGTACGGTGAGAGCGTTTCGAGAGCAGCCGGCTGACTCAGCTGGCGCAGCTTTTTCAGAGCGACTGCAGGAGCGTTGATGACGACACAGCCATTTCACGATTGGCCAGATTCACCGCATGACAACTATCACGTGTGTTTCGGGATTATTCTAACCTTTTCAATTCCAATAATAGCCACAAATCTGTGTTTTTAGAACAGTAAAAGCTTTTTTACTGTAGTCGCAATGTTGACTCAGCGGGCGCAGGTTTTTCAGAGCGATTGCAGGAGTGCTGATGATGACACAGCTGTTTCACGATTGGCCAAATTCACCACATGACAACAAGGACGTGTGTTTCTGACATCTTCAAATCCAATACTGCTCATAAATCTGTGTTTTTAGAACATTAAAAGCTTTTTTACTGTAGTCGCAATATACAAATATAAGTCCTTATATTGAGTCACGTTTATCATGAAAGCATATATACCCCCACTTTATTAGTATTTAAATAGTATATATTTACATTGAACTTTATTCTTGAACAGATGGCGCTGTAAGCAGTATATAAAAAGTGTTTCTGTTATAAGTGATCAAGGGCTTAGGACGTTCCAGTTCAGCCCATTTCAAGGATTCCACCAGTAGTGGGCACTCATGCAACGTAATCAATGACGTACATCCGAGTAAATGAGACGGAGGGAAGTTAGTGAGTGAAGGGCATAAAAAATGGACTGGGACGCAGCCTAAATCTGAGCTTGAGTTGTTGTTTGTCAGTTGATGTTCCTGTATGCATTTTCCAATTGATGCTCTCTTGCCTTCTCTGTGTGGATTATGTTCCTGAGTCCCTTATGTGGATTACACCTTGGTTCTTGGCTTGGATTATCTGTGTTTTAATAAACTTTTGTGCTTACACTTGGATTCTCGCTCCTCCTTGTCCTGGCTGACACTTAACACTTGTTAACATTACCTGCTGGTAGATGTTGGAACTACACAAGTAAACATCATGTTTCCACTTTGACTGCCTTTTAAAAATGACCATTTTTCATATTAACTGTGTTTGTATACTTAGTTGATTCACATACTATTGGGGCGATCAACACTTGAACTGCGATGCCTCCTGCCTGCAACAAAAATAGGAACAAAAGTGAGCAGGTGCAAATGTTTCAAATGTTTGAAAGTTTCACTAAGTAACATTAAAACTGAAAATATTATTAGAATACTCTATTTCAGAACACTGAAAGGAAGCCTTTCTGAAAATGCACTTCTTGCTCTAGAATTTAATTATCTTTGTTCCTTATTAAATATTGTCACAAGCTATCAACCAAGTAGAACAGATTTGCACAATTGAGTTTAATCAGTTGTATCTTAGAAATGGCTAGGAATTGGGCATTTGGATGATTTTTACATCTAGTACTGTATTTCTAACTGCATGAGGTGAACAACTGAACGATTTATCTTAAAACAGCATACAGTGTTATATTGCTCGTACAAAACACTCAATTTGGAACAATGATGGCAATAACACGTACCAATTATAATGTTCTATAATATTTTATAATTGTAAAATTATTACATTTCCTATCAAATGCAAAAGTGCTGATGTTTTGAGTGCTAATTTTAGTTTTTGTTTCATTTTAGTTTTAGTTTATTTAGTTTTAAAAAACCCATTTTATACACATTCAACAACACTCTCCTCTGAAACAATATAGTTTTAAGACAGTTACAGGCCACTACATTATTTGCACTTAAAATATAATGTTACAATATCACGATCAATTAATTATTGTGGTATTCAGGGAATGGTGATATGGACCTGATCTAAATAGTCTTTTCTTAAATCAGAAGATTTGATATGATTGCATGAACTTTAAAAACAGATAACAATTAACAATACCCCTGAATGATTTTCAAATAAATCTTTCAGAGCAGTTTGAGCTGCAGTGATGCAGTTATAGACAGGTCATTTATAAGCCTACAGTATGTCCAAATCATCCAGTCACCCGATACAGTTTCTGTCATTTCTAAATTCCTCATTGGAGAAAGGCAAATCACACAACAGACAGTGTTCTGGCCTCCTGATGCTTCTGTGACGAAGCAGCTTATGCTTTTCGAAATATGCTTAGGGATACATCATTTGTCAATTTGTCTTGTTTAGTATCAACAGCACTAAATATTAGAGAGACTGATAGTCTTTGTTTAATAGATGTTAAACAGCTCAACAGATGTATCAGTAAACTAAAACAAATACAGCATTTGACTTACTGTGGGGCCGATCCAAGTCTGGACTACTTCTGCGAACTGCACAACACAAGAAAACACACACACACACACACAGAGTTAGTGGATCATGCAAACATGATTTTGAAATGAATCAGAATAAAGACTATCACCAGCCCAACCCCAAAGAAGCACTTAAAAAAAATAACCATGGTTTTATTGTAGTAAAAGTGTAGTAGCCATGTTTTTTTGTTTTTTTTTGGTGTATTGATTACCATTTGTATAACCAGTTTTACTGCAAATACCATGGTTAAACTATGGTTAGTGAAGCAAAACCATAGTTAATTTATGGTTACCATGGTTTAACTAGCCTATAGTAACCATGGTTTTTTGGTTTTACTTGTGGTAAAACCATGGTTAATTTTCTTAAATCTTTTTTTCATGTGAATTTAATTAATTCAAAGGCTATCATCAACTTCTGCTTTCGTTTATATAGCATAGCATACTCATTTATGATCCACGATCTTCATTTAATCGACGACACATCAAACACTGAACAGTGTTCTGACCTCCTGATGATTCTGTGACGCATCAGCTTCTATATTTTATGAATATGTTTAGGTTTACAGCATTTGTCAATTTGAAATATGCTATGCGTGCTGTAGGCTTAGCGCTTCCTGTTTCGATGAACCAATTTTAAACAAGTAACGTTACGTCCAACTACTAAAACATAATTTAATAAGAGAATCGATCGGTTGACTCAGAAGGATTAAATTATGATAGATAATTAAAGAAACGTGTATCATGCATGCTAGTACATAAAGTTAGCTAAACATCTTACCTGATCTGTGTGCCATTGTATCACCACACCTTTAAACCGAAAGTAAAAGTATGAAGCAAGCACGCGCCACCCTATGGATGCATTAAAACATACATGTTCTGTAATGACGCAGTATATAAAATAATTACTATAACGCTATCATAATCTGCAAAACGTTGTACCTTTGGTAAAAATCTAATAGGCTACATTTAATTCAAGTCTACAACAGTTTTTCCCATCCTCATTATAGCCGATTGTAAGGCCTAGAGAAAACATTCATTGTGAATTTCCTGTTGTGGCTGATTTTAGCTTTTTGTTTTCTATCAGATGATATAAGGAAAACAGTAATCTGAGTATATATAAGTGACATGTACAAATAAAAGCACATCCTTCAATTCAAGTAGGCCTAAATTAGGCTATGCTAAATTTTGCATTACAAGTCCATTACAACTTTTAATTGCCATGTATTTTCCTAGCTAAATGCAACATGACAGTTTTGGTGATTAGGTTAAGCTTAAAGTGTCAATAAAATGAAGATTTTAAACACGACATCGTTTACTCTTCCTCGTGTCTTTCCAAATCAGAATGTATTCATTTTTCTTGTTGAATAATGTCTCTGTGACTTTATTATTTTTGTTTTCCTGTAGTTTTTATTTTCCTGTAGAGGGAAAAACAAGCAGACAAGCAAACAAACAGACAGATAGTAAATCATCAGATAACATAAACAAAAAGTAAAAATGGCTTGTACACAATCTTAATCCTTATACATTTTTGTATTAACTTTATTTTACTCAAGACACATTTTTTAACCCAAAGTATAACATTCAAACGTAATGCATCTGCAAAGTCCCAAACCTCTGAGAGGGTGATTACCTCTGGGTGACTGGGTCATTACTTATGCTATCTATATTCCATCCAGAGGCATCATGCCCATTCAAACCAAGGGAGCAAAGAGATCGAAATGAAGGGGAAATAAATCAAATACATAATTAATATAATAATAATAATAATAATATAAAATATTACGGAAAACAGACGATCAGTTAATGGACTTACAAGACTGTCAGATGGATAAAAATGTTTTCTTGTAGGCCTATTTTATTTTATGTACTTTATGTAGCATTTATTCATGATCAACTTCATTTGAATGCTGTCTACATCGCGTGCAATTCAGACTGGTAGCCCAGTCATATGGTTACTATAATCATTTAATAATTTCTATAATAGTTAATATAATAATTTCTTAATTCAAAATAAAATATTCATAAATCCATCTCTGATAATCGCAAGTTGCTATGGTCACACAGGTTTGTTTATGCATCACACTCGTGGCCACATAAATGGATGTTGTTTAGGGGGAAGTCGTGGCCTAATGGTTAGAGAGTCGGACTCGTAACCCAAAGGTTGTGGGTTCGAGTCTCGTACCCGCAGGGATCGTAGGTTGGGGGAGTGAATGTACAGCACTCTCTCCCACCTTCAATACCACGACTGAGGTGCCCTTGAGCAAGGCACCGATCCCCCAATTGCTCCCCGGGCGCCGCAGCTAAAATGGCTGCCCACTGCTCCGGGTGTGTGTTCACGGTGTGTGTGTGTGTTCACTGCTGTGTGTGTGCACTTTGGATGGGATAAATGCAGACCACTAATTCCGAGTATGGGTCACCATACTTGGCCACATGTCACGTCACGTCACTTTCACTTTCACTTTAATGTTCCTGCATCTGCCTCATCCCATAATAATAGAGTCAGCTCTCTATATCAACATCAGATGCCACACAATTTATAACCAGTCTTTAAATATACCACAGAAATAATTATGTTACCAGTATACTCTCCACTTATCCATTGACACCTTCTGAACATTTGGCAAAAGCACTAAAGGGGATTTGGTTTCAGAAAAATCAACAACTCTAAACAAAACTAGATCAATTCCTTTACAATTAACAAGATGCAAAGTCCATTCCTATGATGCTCGGCCTTCAACAGGATCTCGAGGCCATGACTTCACATCGCGTGGCCACGACATAAGGATGATCATTACCTCGACAAAATGATCTCGTGGCCACGACAAAATTAAGTGAACCGAACATGTCCCCTCCCGGTCACCGTACATATCTGGTAGGGAAGACTGGTTTTATGCGTAATTAATAGATTACACTAACATTAGGATACTTTGCCTATCGCCCATTATAGATCAACTAACATGATCTATAAAGGTGCAAAATGCATTTACTACACATATTTGAGAAGAGAGATATTTCATGATATAGGCTTAGTTAACACGTTAGGAAATAATTTGAATAAAAAGGAGAAATGAAATAAAAACATAAGCCAACATCAGTTACCAACATCAGTTATACCCCCCCGCTCACTCGTGCCCCCTCAAAAATAATAAGTGCGTAACGCCCCTGTTTGAGATACAAGTGAAATAGTTGGAGCCTTGTGCTAAAGCTAAAGCAATGTGCAAACTTTGCGCAAGAGTTATGCCGGTGAACGTTTTAACCTTAGTCAGTTATACAAAGTGAAAGTAAAGAAAGTACAAACTGACGGCGCTTTCGGCATCTGACGCTGCATTAACGGCGCATAATCTGTTAGAGACGATAAGAGACAAATCTACTTCAACATATGCTGATAACGGCATATAACTCTCTTGAATTATTCATTACTATTTCTCTTGTGGCCCATACATAGTGAAAAAAAAGAGAAATGTACTCTTAATTTTAATTGATGACTGCAGTGTTAATCATTGTAATTACAGGCCTGTTTTAAAATACCTTTTTAAAAACATTTTCAGTGAGGAGTAAGCTAATAGCCTAATCTTTTATTATCCTCACAGCGCATCAGTTATGCGGTGATGCACTATGAAATTATCGTGGGGCAAAAGTAATTTAATAATAAAAGTAACTTAATAATAATAACAGGCCTAACAATAACATCAAAAGCCTCTACAATTGAACCTGCAAAACCTGCAATTGCAGTTATTTGCACAATTATCTTCTTTACGTGGGTTGTGCATCAGCACGTCTCTTTAGTGTGGATGAATCTAATGTTTTGAGGAGTGTGGCTGTCAGTCACCACACTGCTGTGGATATTTACTGTACTTCAGAATTACAGATAATACGTCTTAAGTATGTCCAAAATAAGAACTTTCACCCAAAAATGTTATCTGAACAAGAAAGAAACATGTCTGCCGTTTTTGTTCAGACCAACTGGAAAAAAAAAGTTTTAAAAAGAAAGTCACTGTCATTTTGTTCTGCACTCACTTCTGAGGGAACATCAATTTATGCATTTTTTTGTGTTTTTTTTATTTATTTACCTCTAAAATTACCATATTTTTATGTAAAATATGCTTATTTTATGTTATATTTAATATTACTTTTACTTCAGTACAAAAAAAATCATTCAGCCAAAACCTAAATATTTGGTGACTTTGATGACATCTGGTGGTATAAAAATATAAAAATATCTTACCAATTTATTTGCCCAAAAAGTTCTTTAAAACTTTCGGTTCTATTGTACTGCCATTTTTCTGGGGGCTTTAAAGCACATAGAATATCTAAACTGCATGTAAGTCTAGGTCATTGGGGGGCTTAAGTTTGCCAAATTTTCAACACTACTATCGGGCTGTCAATTGTAGAGCCTTAACATTCTGGCAGGACCCATGCCCAAGTCTTTCAGCTGATCTCCCTTCATGGCTTATGATTGAGCGGGGTGCTTCAAACTCGTCTCTCTCCTCATTGCTATTTGCTGCCCAAGAGACATCTAAAGCTGCAGTAGGATCTCACTTCACAATTAATAACTCTCTTAGGATATGTTGTCAGATCAGTAAGACATTCAAACTGCCAAATACCTCATTTTTTGCTCCTGTCTGTCATAGGCATGGGCCGGTATGACATTTTGACCATATGATAAGCATAAAAAAATATCACAGTTTCACTGTATTGCGATTACAGCTCTATAATGACTTATTTTTAAATGTCTGGGTAAAAAAACAAAAAAAAACACTTTTTTCTATTGAATTGAATATATTTTGTTTTTAAGCAACATACAGAATATTTGGAAAAGTGATGCTTGTTTCTTTTTTGTTTGGTCTGTTTCTCAAATGTTTGCTGAATTGTGGGCTATCCTGCAGCTTTTTATGTGGATGTTTAAAAAATAAAGACGGACATGCTGATTTAACCAAAGTCTATAATTACAGATTTGGTTATAATAATCAATCTATAATTACAGATTGATTATTCGTGTGTGTGTGTGTGTGTAAAGGTTTTTCTGTACTGGTGGAATTGGGGTTGTACCTGAACTCACCCTTCAGTTTGCGTTTGAGCTTGACATTTAGAATTTATTCTGATAATCCAACACACAATGTCTTCATAAGAACCAACAAAACTTCCAGCAGCTGCTCCGATAAAACCTCCAAACTGACTCCAGTCACGAGCTCGTTTTGCACTACATGGTAGGTGTTCTTCAGCTTCTTTTAAAGCTTCAGCTACTTCTCTTTCGAGTTTTATGAGATATTCACACTCTGCTTGTTCTCTTGTTTCACGCTGAATTTTCTCCTTAAGTTTTTGTTTTTCTTTCTCATGCTTTTCTTCCAAGTATTATATGAAGTTCTCTTGTTGTTCTCCCAAAGCATTTTCTTTTATTTTATTTTCTTAAAAAGCCTGTCTGGTTAATTTGCCCATGAACACTCCTGTGAGGCGGCCTGAGGTACCGCAATTCCTAGGCCCCCTTTTGGGGCACAGTTATGTCGCAATATTGGAAATATTTCTGTTTTAAACCATAAAGGCTGATATTAAGCAATGTGCAAACTTTGCGCAAGAGTTATGCCGGTGAACGTTTTAACCTTAAGTCAGTTATACAAAGTGAAAGCAAAGAAAGTACAAACTGACGTGATATTCACACTCTGCTTGTTCTCTTGTTTCACGCTGAATTTTCTCCTTAAGTTTTTGTTTTTCTTTCTCGTGCTTTTCTTCCAAGTATTTTATGAAGTTCTCTTGTTGTTCTCCCAAAGCATTTTCTTTTCTTTTATTTTCTTCTTCAAATAGTTTCTGTTTCTCCTGTAGTTTTCTCTGCAGCTCTTTTTGTAGATTTTCGTCTGTTTCTTTCTTGATCTCTTCTTCTCTCTTTTTGAATTCCTCCTCACTTTTTCTCAGTTCATTCTGCATCTCTTGTCTTTCTCTCTCATTTTCTTTCTTAATTTCTTCTATTTCTGCTTCATATTTGGCTCTCAATTCTTTTTCTTTTCTCTTGATATCTTCTTCTCGCTCTTTCATGATTCTTTCTTGCTCTTCTCTGATGTTCTTCTCCACTTGCTGGAACATCTCATTGGTGTAGAAACTCCCTCCATTTGCTGCCACCATACAGTCAATCTTATCCAGCAGCTCAGAAACCTGCGTCTGATCTTTAGTGTCTTTGTTATTGAACACATGGTATCTGTGACCACACTGCTTGATGAGGTACTGCAAGCTATCATCACCTTCAATAAAATCTTCAACTCTTGTTCCTCTAAGATCATCTCCTCTGGTGAAGAGCGCCATGGTATACATTCTGGATTTGTCTCCAAACATGTCCTGGATCATCTTCACTGCATCTTTCTCCTCTTGAGTGAATCGTCCCAGTTGAATCACCAGCAGAAACACATGTGGTCCAGGTGCTGCCATTGAGACACACTTCACAATCTCCTTCCTGGTCTCAACATTATCAACTCCAGTATCAAACAGGCCTGGAGTGTCGATCACAGTTATCCGTCTTCTGTTGAACTCAGAGGTTTCTTTCTCACACTCTCTGGTCACGGAGCGTGAAGTCAGTTTTGATATAAAAGCTTCTCTTCCCAGTATTGTGTTTCCCGTTGCACTTTTCCCAACGCCCGTCTTTCCCAGCAGCACAATCCTCGCAGCAACATAATTGTGTGTTAAACCTAGAAACAGAAAGAGACGAACAATTACTGATGTGAAACACAAAACAAAAATAAAATCACATTTCCTATAGCAACCATGGTTTAATTTTTCAATTTTTTTGTTATGCTTGGCAATTTTAGGACAAAGGTGAGAGGATCCAAATGCAGATGAGCTTTATTGAAAGAATTAACAGGAACCAGAACGACGGAAACCATGAACAGGAGAGAACCAAACACATAACAGCCAGTAAACAGAGAAGACTAGACAAAGATCCAGGACAAACACAGGGGTTTAAATACACATGTTAACAAGGGAAACGGGGGATGGGGGGGCGGGGGTTAATGAATTGTTATAGTAACTAATGATGGTAATTATTGTAACAGATAAGGCAGGTAGGCAAACAGGGACACAGAACACAGGAAAAGAGCACAGAAAAACTGGGGAAATACATTTCGAAATAAGAGTACAAAACACAAGACCAAGACTGGGGAACACAAGCAAAGAATCATGACATTGTTGATGTCGAATGCAATGGATGCTGTGTCTGTGTCAATAAATTATTCTCTTTTTTTACCATTTATAATAAAACTAAGTTGCATGTAAAAAAAAAATCAATAGTATTTACAAAACAAAAAATTTACAATTACAATAAAATATTCTACTTTTAATGTCAGAGCAGCATGGCTACTGTAAACTGAATGTGTCTGGCTTTCAGTGTCATCCGCTTCATTATTTTAAAGGGGTCACTCTAGCCCGCCGGATGCCGCTCACTCAAGTCCGCCGTTCACTCAAGCCCACCGGCCTCCGCTCACTCTAGCCCGCCGCTCACTCTAGCCGGCCGCCGTTCACTCAAGCCCACCGGCCTCCGCTCACTCAAGCCCGCCGGATGCCGATCACTCAAGCCCACAGGCCTCCGCTCACTCAAGCCCGCCGTGTGTGACGCTGTGTGTTTCGTTGTG